CAGAAGTGGGAATTGTTGGAGAGTGTTGTGCAACACAGAAGTGAGACAGGAAAGCACTAAGCTATTTCAGTGGCAATGCTCAACCCACTCCCACTCAGGATTTAGTGCATGGCAGCTTTACACGACATGTTCTGCAACTGAGGATGGCCTTAAATGCGTCCTGAAGATGAAGCAGCTGAACTGTGAGCATTGCTTATGTGTGCTTCAACACCGGACAAAGAGAGAATGCGATCAGATGGTGTGGATGGCTGAAAGCTCCTTCCATCACTCCCCACCACCCGTCCCTCTTGTGCTGCCTTTGTTAACAAACACACACCATCAAACCTTGTGCTGTGTGCTCCTTAGTGTTGTAGTGACTTCTTATGTAAATTGTACCAGCCCAGAGTAAAACCAGTTCAGTTGCAGTCTGCACTGCTGGGATGGACACAGAACAGAGAAGAAGAACCAAGATGCTAGTGATGGTTTTTTTTCTTTAAAAACATGAAAACCGAAGACCCTGTGCAATGACCTACTGCAAGACATATCCCCAGCAAGCAGAATCACCTTTCTATCTGCAGAGACCTCTCCAAATGTCAAATTCCAAAGGCTACCTGTTTGCAAGTGCCCTCATCCAACTTGTACACACAACAGCACCTAATTAGAGGTTTGAAACTGAAGAGTAATTTTATCTGTGGATCTCATAACTCTCAAATCTCTCTTTGAAAAGCATGGTTATGTAGCTGATGGTAACACTGCTTTTCCATGAAGAATCTCATAAACAAAAAGACTGCAAACATGATTAAGAAACATAAGCAAAGAGCCATTGTTTAAAGCCAAAGGGACATTATCACATCTCATGGCAGGAGTATTTGTTGGAGAATCAAAATGCAAAATCCTGTACTTCTGGCCTGCTTTGCCTAGGTCTAGCACTCTGCTTCTCATCTCACCCCTTTCCAGCTGACATCCCAGGTGCTGCTGCTTTGTTCAGGCAATGTGTGAGTGCTTGCACAGGACATCCCAGCAGGATTAAACACACAGCTACTGTTCTTGAAAAGCTTTCATCACAAATGAGAGGGACTGGGCCCTGGGAGGACACTGTTGCCCTGAGCCCTGCTGTGGTTTTACTTCGTTCCGCTCCACCCAGGAGCTGTCTGCCTTTCATCCCCAACAATAATCATCTCTGGGCGTAAGACAGGAAAGTGCCTTTTGGCTGGGAGAGCAGCCAGATCCACAGCAGGCAGATCCTGCATGAAAGCAACGCAGACAGATAGCAGCAGGAGCCACACTAACTCTGTGCCTATGGAAATCACATCTGAAAGTTGCATTTGCAACTCTTTCTTTGCATTTTCCATGTGTGCCTTTAATCATTTCACAGCATAAATCATGCTACTTAGAGATGCAAGGGCAGGGGATGCACAAGGAAGGGCAGTCTTGTGACTGAGATGTGGGAGAGCTGCCAGGTGCATTTCAGGTTCGACCATCACCACTCTATCTTATCATCCCAGCGGTGAAACAGGGAGTGCAAGACAGATCTGGCAACGCGTTGTACAGTTTGGGATGGTTTAGAAGTGCTCAGACCATATGCCGATCAGAGCTGTATAATTGGATAATTTAACAGAACACTTCAAATTGCATTAATTGCTTTAGACACCTCAAAAATCACAAATCTGCTGTTTGTAACACACTACCCTGCAGTACTGGAGTGATCCATGTGGTGGATTGTGAGGGGTCTGGAGCACAAGACTTAAGGGGAGCAGCTGAAAGAGCTTGGGTAGTTCAGTCTAAGAAGAGGTTCAGATGAGACCTTATAGCTCTCTACAACTCCTCAAAAGGAAGTTGGGGTGAAGTGAAGGTCAGCCTCTTCTCCCAGGTAACAATGATAGAATGAATGAGAAGGGCCTCAAGTTGTGCCAGGAAAGGCTCAGATTGGATATTAGGAACAATTTCTTCTCAGAAAGAACAGTGAGGCATCAGCACAGGCTGCTCAGGGAAGTGGTGCAGTCACCATTCCTGGAGGTGTTCAAGAACCATGGAGACGTGGCACTGGGGTACATGGTGGTGGGCAGTATTGGTGATAGGTGGACAGTTGCAGTAGATGGCTTTGGAGTCTTTCCCAGTCGTAATGCTTCTATGATCTCATTTCCTAAGCAGGAAGAACCTGATACCAAACACATCCTTGCTGAACTCTTACAAACAGGAGGTTTGCCCATGAACCAATTGAATCTGTGAGTGACTGCAGTCTGATATCCTGATAGAAACCAACCACCAGCTGTGTAAGGAAAACTACACTAAGAGAAAGAAGCTGTACTTCAAGGTCTTCACTAAAGCATCCATAGGCAGGAACCCACCAGCAGATAGACGTAATGACAGCATTACCTGGCTCTGCATGCCCAAAAAGAGGGCTCAACAATTACATTGATTACACAAACCCTGCTTTTTGGCATTAGCCCAGAGTATAGCAAGTCAACAAGAGCTGCTCCCTCTGACACTCACAGGCACAGCTGCCTCAGCTGAGCTACCTCCCCAGTCCTAGGCAAAGCCAGACCTGCAGTGAATGGGGATTACTCACCGGAGGAAGGTGTAACCAGCAGAGGAACGATAGGTATGCGGAGCTTGATTTGCAAAATGAGAAGGAATCACACTCTGCTTATTAAAGGATGTCTGACCCTTCTGTCGCTGATTTCATGTGAAGGGCCTCTACCAGGCACAGTGCCCTTGCTCCAAAAGCATGCTCATTTACTGCACTCACTTGTCCGTAGAAGCTCAAAGCAGAGCAGAAGATGGAACTGCTGGAAGGAAGGCTACAGAGCTCATGAATAGGCAGGAAGCAGTTCAGCTCATAGACAGCTGCAAAGCATGAAATAACTCCCCAAATGCTCACCAGGGAAAAAACAGTGTGAGGAACTACTCAGTTTCCTAAAAGATCACAAAGAACACAACACATAGTAAAGGAAAAGGTAGTGTGCAAGAATAGATGGCCCTCACTGTACCATAGTTCTAGGATGTTGACCTAGGTACCAAAAATGCTTTGCAGAAGCAGCCACGTGCACAGGAAATTGTGCAAGAAACATCAGGTGGGCACTTCATGCCTCACAGGGGGCAGCTGCAAAAATGGGTGTTCAAGGCCAGGTTGGATAGGGCTCTAGGCAGCCTGACAGCCTAAACAGCTGGTTGGCACCCAGCCCACAGCAATGGGTCTGAACCACCCCATCTTTAAGGCCCCCTCCAACCTAAGCCATTCAGTTATTTTACAACACGGTCATAGATGCTCTCCAGGCAGAATAACATCATCACTAGAAGGCCAAAAAAATGCAGGGGCAAAACCTTCTGAAAAGTGTGGGACCAACAACCCATGCTTACTGCAACAAAAGGAACTGCAAGGTGAAAGAAGCAGGTTAGGAGCCAAATGGCACCTATCCTGAAGAGCAGATCTGGTTGGGCAGGAGCAGGGAACACAGAGACTCAACTTGAACAGCAGTAGTACATGGACAGCTCTGCTCCCATGTAAGTGCTACAACAGTGCTGGATGGGACTGACACACAGCAAAAGGCTTCTCTCAGATACAGCAGCCCAACTTTCAGAGAATCAGAGTGTAACCTGAATCCTGAGAAAGGAACAGGAAATTCACAAGATGCACTGCAGTAGCTACACTGGTGTTAAGCTTTAGAGTTGAGGAGGGAAAAAGGAAAATACGTCTTGTGACAGCAGTGATTTCACTTGTAAAGTAGCTTCGCTTATAAAGTAACAAACCTGGTATTTACACTAGAAAGAAAACAAAAGGTAGAAATGACTGAGGAAGAGCAGCCTCATGGCTTTCAGGTGAGAGGTGTAATCCATTCCCAGGCTCACTGTGCTATTGCTCAGCCACCACTGAGATTAGGCTTGTTTACAGAAAGCAAGAAGCTTGGCACGACTTATAGCAACAGATTTCCTTGCCAGAGCCCTAATACCAAATGTCTGTGCAAAAGCCGTTTGGAGAAGTGCTATTTACTTTGGTAATGAGGTGAGTTCCCTGGAATGTAGCATTGCAGTGTTCCCAGAAGATGTTGCAATCCACTTACCTGTGTCTCAGCTACGTACCATACCACACAGGCACTCAGAGCATGAGAACTGCTCAGCTGAGCCAGGAGACAAAGGACTGAAGCTCAGATCTTCCTTACAGCAATGTACCTCACTCCCACAACAAGTACACAACCTGGGTCTCCACTGAAAATTTGCTTGGGGTTTGGTTTCTTTATAAAGTTTTCCAAGCTGCCACAAGCTAGAACATAGAAATTAACTCCAATAAGAGACCCCTTACGGGAGACAGACCCCACAAGAAGGTCCTCATAAATCACAAAACCCATAAATGTTATGAACTTGTCCTGTAGTACCTCTTTTTGGGCAGCACTGACCTCAGACCCCAGCTCTCTCCTGGTAGCACCTAACAGGAATACCAGCGTGCAGTTGGACTAATGATTACCTGCAGGAAAAAGAGAAATTAAAGGTAGACTTTAGAGGCCAAGGCTCCCTTGCCTCTCCGAGTCATGGGCCTGGGGCTACTCCACTCTTTCTCATTTAGGATGGAATCCCAAGCCGCTGCTCCAATCCTTTGACCACACAGATGAAAGACTCTCTCCTACTTAAAATCCCAGCTCTCCACTTATTTGCTGAAGCTTCCATTTGAAATTTTGCTCCCAATAAGGTAGTTCACCAAACCCCTCCCTGGAGTCCAGTACCTGGAGGATTCCTTTGTAGTTGAATTAAATGGACTTCCTACTGAAACAAGTACTGGCATCTGCACATTTTGTTTACAAACAACTTGCATTCCTATGAGAGCACTGAGCTCTACTTTGCACAGTGCTGTAGTTCTTCATAACCCTGTTTCATGCTCTAAGTGTGAGTTTCAACACTTCTAAGAGGAGAAACCAAGCTCTAATTAGAAGTGTTTACATGTACTCCTGAGAGCAAGAACAAACTCTTACCATGGTTAGATTATGTAAAAAGTTTAATTATAAAATAAATAAGTTTGTTATGGAAGCATTAAATATTAAATACAATAATAAATATTTACACATTTACAGATATGTCTTGACAATTAATGGTGTTGCTCTGCTACCAGAAGAATTCTGCTCTGTTTATACAGAACACATTTGCTCTTCGAAGAAGAAACTGAACTCAACTACTACAGCGTGCACAAAATTTCACGGACATCAAGAAACTGAGGATAGCTAGGTCAGAAAGGTTTGAGGTAAGTCACGTTCTTCACATCATAATGAAGAGCATAGGAGACCACTGCATGCTGAGTAACAATGCTTGAATTTAGTTCTTAAAAAAAAAAAAAACAAAAAAAAACAAAAAAAAAAATACTGGTTTTTGGTCAACCATCTGGATTACAGAAGCACTGTGTTTCAGCCAATGGATAGATGCTGCAACATCACTGTCCAGACTTATCAGCTTGTTTGATCACATGTATTCCTTCAGTGACAGAGCTTCAGATCTCACATCTGTTGTCTCAGCATCTTGAGATGAGTCTTAACTCTGCATCACACACACACAAATTGATAGCTCCACTCACACAGTCCTATTGGGTTCAGAGGGAATACCTTCCACATGTACAGTAACAGAACCCAGGTGTGGTTGACAGACCTGTCACCAACACCCTGCAAGTCAGAATTAGAGATGAAGAGATGAAATTCTTTGAAGCAGATACCAACAGGGAGCACAGCAACAGCAGAATTTGGTTTTGTCCACTGAGGTCTAGTGAGATGAGCTCTTCCCTTTTCTACCTTTGAGGAGAGGTATCTCCTCCCCTCCATCTTGCTCTCCTGGGAGCCACAGCTTCTGCCCCTCGGAGCTAGAGCTGCCAAAGGAGACTTGCTAGCAGAAGAAAGTCCATCCACATACAAGCAGAGTCTGGAGGTCCAGCACCCATAGAGAAAGCTCAGGAGTAGTCTCCAGCAGGTCTTGATAGCAGCCCTCTACCTTTATTGTGGCAGCTCCTTCCACATTGTTGTATCAAGTTGTAGCAGTTAACTGTCCTCCCCAGCAAGTGATTCAGCAGCAAATGGCACATTGGGCATCTCCCTGCAGCAGCCTGTCTTGATGAATCAGGGCTTAGTGGCAACAGCTCCAGCCCAGTGTCCAGGTAGATGTGTCAGGTAGCCAGAGGTCCCCTGCAGCTTGGTAGAGGCCACAGAGTTGTTCTGTAAAGGGAAGACCAAGCACATTAACTACCACTCAAAACATGAGCACTCCACACTAGAACCAGAGCAAGCCTACATCCAAGGCAGGCAGCTTTGTCTACAGTCTGTTAGCACCAGGAACTCCCTAATGCCTTGAGGAGATGTGGAAATGCTCATTCTTGCCTAGATTAGTTTTTATTCCCCCAAAGGGAATTTCAATAGAGCTTTCCGTTAGTGGAATGGATTACTTCCCCTTTGGTTTTTAGTTGTCTTTAAAAGTGCTGTTGAATTCACATGCATAAAATCCAGCGGTTTTAGAAAACCAGTGAGCTGGGTCATACACATGTAACCTACATGTTTCAAGGCACTTTGAGCGCTAAACAAAACATGAAAGGTAATGCTAGCTTTGCTAAACATGCATGCAACTCCTGCTTGGAAAAACTAAGACAAGTTGAAAGTTGGCTCACATACCTGCTTTCTCCTCATTTACACACCAACATGGCCATTTCTGTTCTCTTGTCGAAGTTTTTTCCTTTCTTCTTTCTCTTCATACTGAGGACACTTTTTCCTGACCCTGTGGAATTGGAGGGCATAAGATATCGTTATTTTAAAGCCTGACATCCATCCGTCCCATGCTCTGTAGCTATGCTCTTTGGATCCTCAAGCAGCTCCTAGGCACCAGAAAGCATTGAGCACATCAATGTGAGTGTTTAACTATTCAGCTACGAGATGTTATCAAGCTATTAGATACATCAAGGAGCCTTGGGTTAAGCAAGGAGCTTTGCCACACATAGCTGGGGCCTCCTAATGCAAGCACCATCAGGTAGCAAGAGGCGGGGAGCATGCAGAGCACAGGGAGACACAGGGGGCCAGATTTTCTGGAGGCTATAGCAAACAGCTGCAATGTGCAGAGCCCTGGGAACTTCAAGGAATTCGAGTGCATGTGTCCCGTGAATACATCAAAAGCCAGCTGCTAACAGCACTTCTCATTGTTAGGTCTTCACTAGTGTTCCCAATAGACCACCCAGCTTCTCTAGAGGAAGGTACAGTAACATCCATCTCACTGTTTAAGCCTGTAAGGGTTTAGATCATGAAGAACTAGAACAACCGTCCTACTGCATGGCTTGCTTCAGAAGCAAGCAATGCTCATTCTCACTACAGAACTGGTTCTTTCTCATAGCAGAGTGGAACAAAAGTGTTCCTCCCAGCGTGCCTCAAGTTTAGATCTAAATATGAAGCAGCAAAACAAATGCACACCTTGTTTCCTGAAATGCAGGGAAGAGTACAGCATGTACCAAATTATGTTGGTGTACTTTGAGATCTAAAATTAGACTGCACTTCTGAGTTCCACCTGCACTACCCAAGCCCTGCTGCAGCGCCAGACCTGGAGGACTGCTTCTGCATTCAGAAACACCAGAGCCAGGTTCCCAGTGCAACTACTTGAACTCAACACAAGTCCTGGAGAACCAACTGACAAGATGCAGAGGCACAGCGATCAGAAGCTGCTGCATACTGCTTGTCAGCAGGTAAAAGAGTTTGATGGAATGCTTGAAGCATGCACTCAGTATTTTTTTTTTTTTTAACTTGATTCACAGCAGGACCTCAGGTTATCTACCACACTACAGCTGTTAATCACAGAACAATTGCTTCCTTCCTTAGCAGCAAGCAGTACAGCACTTCAAACTGACAGCACTTACTCTCCCATTTGATACCCCTGCAGTGCTAGTATTTAAATCCAGCAGCCTCCATTAATTAATGGTCAGCTGGATCACTCATTCCTCCCAGCTGTGCAGCCAGCTGTTGGATCACAGCTACACACTGAGCAGCTATACTTCTGCTGGCAGGCCTCTTCTACACAAGGATTGGGAAATGCACTGCTGCATCAGCATGAATGCTCCTCCTCCACCTCCTGCTGATGTTCTGCAGCACTAAGTGCTTTGGTTGTAGTGGGAGCAGGAAGACTTGTTTTAGAACTCCACATTCATAGGTTGGCCATAGCAAAAAAAAAAAAAAAAAAAACAAAAAAAAAGCCGGGGGGGGGGGGGAGGGGAAATGAACAGTCAGTAGCTTGGAGACTTCTCAGACCTTCTGCTCTTAAGACACATGCAAGCCAGAATAAGAACTTGTGCTTCTGGAGATCTTCCACACACATGTAATTCAGATAAGCCATGCATATTTTGCAACTACTGGTCACAAGTCCTGCTCACACTTGAGCCAGACATACACTAAAGAGCATAATACTTACTGCACTATCACAATGATAAGTACAGCAACAAAGCTGATGCTGGAAAGCAGGACAGCTACCACAACCAACACAGTCTTTGAGTAGTCTGCCACATCATTCTTCCTTTGAGTCTTCATGAACTGTTCACCACAGCGCTCACCAAAATAATCCTGATAACACCTGCAACAAACATCAATACAAGTTCTTATTAGCTCCCATGCTGTCTGGAGCCAAGGATACCCACACATAGTCAAGGCTGACTTTGACATCCTTAGAGTTGCACATGAATCTCAAGATGCTCACTTGGAGCATGCTCATAGAACAGTCACTGCTCTAGCAGAAGGTTTGTCAGTATTTCAACAAGTTGAGATTAGTTTGGGCGTGATATCCCAGCAGGACACACCTTTCCATTCTTTAGGTTCAAGTTTATGACCAACCGATGAGTTCAGTAGCTTGTTATGCATCTCAGATTCCATCAGCACTTAATTTACATGGCAGAAAGATTCTCAGTCAAAATACTGTAGGAGATGTATCTAGGCCAAGCTGACACCAATTTTTCCCTCTAAGCCCTTCTATGCCACCAGCACATGCAAACCACACCTCACTCACTGCACAGAACTTACTTGCAGGTTGCCATCTGAAGATGCTGTAAGTACACGCATTCACCATGGATGCAGAAGTTTTTGTACTCCATTTCACAAGGAGTCCCTTTCTTTTTGTTCTTCCCTTTATTCTTTCTCCTCCTTGGTTTGCCAGCATTCTTCTCGCTCCCCCTCTTCACTGGCTTGGGTTTAACCACAGGCTCCACTGGAAACAACAAGGTCACTCAGTCTAGCATTGCAGAAAAGCTAGATGCTGTGAAATGCTATTACAGGGTTTGGGAATTATTGCAGGAGAACCACTGAGCAGGAAGCATGGGATGCAAGTCAACAAAAGCTGAGTGCTTTATATCCAGCACAGAGACAGCAGGCTTCAAGGCTCGTGGAGTTCAACTCTGCCACCACACACTGAGCAACACAGAGTGGTGTGAGAAGATGGGCTGTGAAGGCCACCAGAGATGGAGATAGAGTGAAACCGTATAGGTTCAAGCAAGGACCTGTGCTGAATATTATGAGGTTGCACTGAGCCAAACCATCCCTTCATTTTATATCGACTCAGACACAAAACTAACCAACTCCATTGCTCTAAACTCTCTATTTGCATCAGTGATGAAAGGCATTGTGAACTGCTAGATAGTCCCAGGCGCTTGTAGAGGCACGACAGCCTGCTATCCCACTTATCAGACTTGTTTCTCCCAAATAACCTGCAGTGCTATCCTCAGCAGAAGAGATGCTTCATTTCCAGTTCTCCTACTTTAAGAGAGGTGCCAAGCGCACCAAAGGGTGAAAGCAGGATCATCCACAAGAGACAGGTTATTTGTTCTGCCAGTTGCTGTTGCCCCTCATTATCTCAATTAAATCTCCAGAAGAGTGTGGTTTAAAGGCTGGTGGTGACTTAGTAGTCTGTGGATTTAAGGAAGGGCAATAGTATTCCTTGCACTGGGAAAACAAGGCAGAGGAGTACCAACACCAGAGGAGTACAGTACTCCTCACCAACAGAGGAGTACAAGCTACATGCAACAAAGCTCTGCAGCACTCTTACAGAGCAGTTCAGTCCAACTCTGGCTCTCCAAACAAGCCATCTCTTTACTGCTAGCCATAAGAAGTTCTCCCAGAGGGATGCCACACTATTTGAGAACAGCAGTCAACCAGGTGAGTTTCAACAGGTCTCAAAATAGCAGACAGCTGCAGCAGTCTTCCCAGCTGCTTATTTCTCCATTGTGCTACAGAGATAAGCATAATGGTTTCTAACTACTTTGTAGCCCTATGTGTCTGGTGACAAGCAGAGATTCTGCAGAAAAAAACAAGGTGTAGCTCACTATTGTCTAGACAGAAAGCACTTTAAGTTCTAGAGCAACAAGCTTGGCTTGAAGTCACTTAAAAGCAGAATTGCCTTTAGCAACCAGAAGTCTGATTCAAATGGTATAAGCTATATTAATATGCAAACCAGGAGCACTGCCCCTGCAGCAAGGTTTCCTATCCCTAGGATTGTGAATTCACAGAGTCCTCTCTCCTGTCCTGTTCGACCTGATGCTGAGGTTCACACTTGGATAATTGAGGCTGTTCCCATTCCCCTCTTCAAGACTGAGGTTGTCAGTTTGATCTATGCCCTGTATGTAAGCTGCAAAGCCAAGAAAGCCATCCACAGTTGAATCATGACTTGAAGGATGTACAGATAAACCTCTTGGCAAGTAGAAGAGCTGGTCTACAAACCAACCACCTCGGTAGCAAGTCTGGTTTCTGTGCAGTTATACAACACCAGTCACCGCACCAGTAGTTCTGCTGGCCAAACTGCTCTCTAATCTGATATTCCTGCTCCCCATGGAGGCTTCACACTCCCCAAAAACTGGAGTGAGCATCCATTATTCCAAGTCAGCATATGGAGTAGAGTCCCTCTTGTCTTATCCACATCTCAAGGTGTTCCCTCCAACAGTGGAGCCCACCCTGGAGGGTAGCAGCACCCACCTACAGAGTTCTGTAGAGGAGCAAATCCCTTGGAGGCTGAGACTCAAGAAGTGCCTCCACGGCTCACTTTACAGCCACACAACCAACCCAACGATCCTACCCCTGCCATATCACTGCTTGGGGGACTGTTCAGGTGTCCTCGTGGTTCACAGGCAGCTTTACAGCACATGCACACAATTTAGCATGGCCTAAAGGGCGCTTAATGAGCTCATTTAAACGCCAACTTCGGGGCCGAGCAACACGCTGAGCTCTTGCTGCTGCTTCCAGCCAGGCTGTCCTCCCATCACAGCCCAGCTGGCAGGATTAGCGCAGAGCAGCAGCACGCTCAGCCCACCCGCAACCCTCACGCACCTCCACGCCCCTTCCCGACGCTCACCTCTGACCAGGTCCCCCACCAGGTACTGGTGCGCGAGCGGCGCCTCCTCGTACTCCTCCTCCTCGTAGTCGGAGCCCGGCGCTGGCTCAGGCTCCCTTGGGCTGCCGCGCCGCTCAGGCTCGGTGCCGTTGGGCTCGGATGCAGCAGCGGTTCGGCAGGCTGCGGGGACACAGACAGCGCGGTGAGCGCTCCGCAAACACATCGACATCCCCCCTTCCTCCTCCTCCCCGCCCTCAGCCACGCACCTGCGAGCACGGCCAGCGCGGCCAGCAGCGCCGCGGCGCGCATTGGGGCTCCGGGGGCGATGGAGACGCGGAGAGGACGCGGGCGGAGCGGATACCCGGCGGTGCGCAGCGCTCCATAGGGGCCGCCCGCCGCCGCCAACCGCTTTATAGGCGGCGGGGCCGCGTCACGGGGCGGAGCGGGCAGGTGAGGGCGGGGCGCAGGTGAGGGTGGGTAAGCAGAGATGGAGTGTGTCTTTCCAAAGGCAGAGATGTGGGCCTGGGGTTTTCTCTGCCCAGAGTTGGGGTTTGCTCTGTGGGTACAGCCAAATAACAGTCCGTATACTGAGACCTTTCCCCACGATGTGCTCCCAGGATGGGGGGATGCAGCCTCCCCGGTCAGTCTTCTGATTTCCCATCCTTTGATCAGAAGGAGGTTGACCAGAAAAAGACACTTTAACAGGGTCTGTTGTGATAGGATAAGGGAAACGGTTCCAAACTAAAAGAGGGGAGATTTAGATTGGGCATAAGGAAGAAGCTTTTTATGATAAGGGTGGTGAGGCACTGGCACAGGTTGCCCAGAGAGGTGGTGGAAGCCCTGTCCATGGAGATGTTCGAGGTCAGGCTGGAGATGCTCTGAGCACCTGACGTAGTTGTAGGTGTCCCTGTTCATTGCAGGGAATTTAACTAGGTGGCCTTTAAGGGTCCCTTCCAACTGAAATGATTCTGGATATATATGGATATATGGTGGATATATGAATTTCACATAATTTCTTCCAGATCAACATGAGAAGCACTGAAGGTTTCAGCCCAGCACTGTGCTTGATACGCTGCTAAGCAATGGAAAATAGCGCCCAAAGGGGAGGAAAGGTTGAGTGACCCAAGTGCAAGTGGCCGTTAGCTGCAGTGTTTGGAGAGCAAACACAGCACATCCCGTGCCTGACTCATTCCTCTCTCCTCCAATCTCCAACCAATAGCTCTGCTCTGCTGGCTGGCAATGGCAAGGAGTTTGGCTCAGCATGCTCTGAATTTCTCCAGCATTTTCTCTACTTCCTCTTACAGCCTACACACTGCAGCCCCTCCTTAGAGAGGACACCCTGTGGAGGTCACCTCTTCTGGGGGCATGCAAGGTCCCTCAGAGCCCCAGTGCTTTGCCGTGCATTGCCCACACAATTTCCATCGACTGTAGAGGGAGCCAAAGGAATAGGAAGATTTTGGAAACTGCATTGGGTTTCGCCCCCGGCTGAGCTGCTGGAGGACCACCCCAGGGGTGTGGAAGGAGAAGAAGCCATGAAGGAATGTAGGACTCTCCCCACGGGCCATCCTGCTGTGGTGGTGCAAGGCTTGCCTTCAGAAAGGTGCTGCTTCCCTGTGGGTGCAGAGTGCCACCTACTGAGCCACCACTTGAGATGATCCAAGTGAAACTACATGCCCAGGGTGTGAAGTTATGCATGTTCAGCCTTCAAACAGGCAGAATATGTAGATGACATTTCCCCTGACCTGACCCCGCTATAGGGGGAGCCACCTCGCTCCCACCCTGCTCTGCCCCTGTCCCTCAGCACCATGCAGCAGCCCTTGAGGTGTGGGCAGGACTTGCCCAGTGACACCAATCCTGATGGCTCAGCCCCTATGGGGCATCACGTCCTCCAGAAGTGTCCATGTGCCAACTGCAATCTCATTATTCACTTTCTTTACTTTTGATAAATCCCCAGAGAAATGCGTGAAGGGAAAGGAAGTTGCTGCAATTGCTGCCCATTAATTTTCTCTACTGACATCAAATGTTTGTTCTGTAGGGGCGGGCGCAGCTGAGCTTGGTGTTTAAGCATGAGTTATCCTTTCCCATGCATCCAGGTGAGAACAGGTGGAAGGGGGATGACTCAAGCAGTGTCTGTCTGGGCAGCTCATGACTTTCTCTCTACTTCTGATCTGCAGATGCCATATCTTCTGCTATCAGAAGCCACCTCACAGGCTGGGAGAGGGCTTTGAAGTGTGGTGTGCGTGACTCCAGTTCCTGCTGATGCAAGCCAGGAGTGCCATAATAAAGGGGATGTGGAAGCCCAGCCTACATGCTGGGGAGGAGGGAAGGGGAAGGGCCCGGATGCTGCATCTCTGGAAATCAGCACAGATCATGCTCCTTTTTGCAACACGCAGGCATTCAGATTCCTGCTCTGAAAATCTTCAACAGCAATGTTGCTCCTGAGGTGGCGACAGTTCCACAGTGCACCCTTCTTTTCTCAGACACCTGTGCTGGAGCAGAGTTTGAATGGGTAAAACCAGTTCAGAAATAATGTTATAACTCAGGTGAGACAGAAGTTCTGCCCAGTGCTGGGAGGATGTTTGGAAGCTGCCTGCTGTGAGCACTGCTGTGAGCACCAGCTCTGACTGCTCCATTTTTCATCAAGCATGCACCCAGCATGTCTCATCTGACCCACCCAACACATCCTCCAATGCTTGCCCACTCGTTTGTGTGCAGTAACTCAGCAAATCCTTTGGGCAGATTCTGACCCCAGTGGTCATTGTAAGGTACTGAAGCAGCGAGCTGGGTGAAGCAGCATGTAATTACACCAGGACAGCTAGCCATCCTATCGGGGGAGCACTAGAACTCGCTGTCCATTCCTCCATCTCCTCGGGTGATCCACTCACTGGAATCTTCCCTAGCAATCCCAGGCTGTGTCCAGCCCACATCCTCCAGGAGGCAGCTCTCCATGATACCACAGCACAATGCCACTTCCTGACCATGATGCTCCAGGGGTGACACAACAAGGGGTAAAGGTATTAGACAGGAAACCCTAAAGAAACTGGGACCTCAGCTATAGTCATCAGTGTGAGCTGATGCACCAATGTCTCTCTGGCCCTTCACTTTGCACATCAGTGTTTCACCTGCATCCTGCACACAGTTTGATAGGACTTGAGGTAATGGCTTCAGGTTGTGCCAGGAGAGGTTCAGGTTGCATACTAGGAAACATTTATTCTCAGAAAGAGTGGTGATGCAGTGGCACAAGCTGCTCAGGGAGGTAGTGCAGTCACTGTTCCTGGAGGTGTTCAAGAACCATGGAGATGTGACACTGAGGGACGTGGGTAGGCAATATTGCTGGTAGGTGGACAGCTGGACTGTTTGATCTTAGAGATCTTTTCCAACCTTAATGATTCTATGATTCTATGATTTGATATTACATATTGAGAACATCATGTCACCAGTAAATGAGCATCCAATCTCAGCTCGGACAATGTGTGTAACTACGTGTGCACTGAGGCTGTTGAAGAATTAATGTCTATTGTTGGGAAAACATAGGCTTTTTCTTTCTCTGGTGTCTTACAGATTGAGTTGGAAAAGACCAGAGCACAAAACATCAGATTTTAAGAGCCCCACCACAAACATGCAAACAAACAAACAAAACCCCAGTCCTGTAACACTGCATTTTTAAATGTAAAACACAGTTGCCTCTAATACTTGCAATATTAGTTACATATCTTCTGGTTTCTTTATCCCATGCAACTTTCGCACAATATCACTTTTTTGCACACTGTGACTAAGTGACTTTCTGTCAGCAAAAGCCCTTAGGTGGTTGTTAATTATCTCATGTTGAGTGCAGCCCTGCCTTTGTAAGGAGTACTGTGTGGCACAATCAGAACCAAACACAGCTGCTGGTTTTCACAGCAGAGGGGCAAATTCTCGTAGCCGCAGTACAAGGCAAAGTTCCTTGGAGTGGCCTTGCACAGATAGACCAGCCATCACTTGGAGTAGGTGTCAGGCTGCCCCTGAAGGACCTTGGCTGTGGAAATGCATCCCAGATGGAGCACACTGGTGCCAAAGGAAGCTGCAAGAGATGGATTGGATAACTGAGTCTCCTAATGGGGTGAATACCACATCACATTTCTCACTTCAGTGACTTGAGCATAAAGTCAGCACGGGGATGTGTTATCAGCCCCTTTGAAAGCACACAGCATGTGAGTGAATGACACAGTGCTAAGCATTTTGGGAGACTCCCACCTCACATGAGGACTGGGAGTGTGTGACCAAAACAGCTGATGTTTTCCTTCCATGTCATGGGTTATTTCCATTATAGAAGTGAAGTACATGTGAGAATCATTTGGGAATTCTCTCTTGGTGCAGGAGAACTTTCAGCTTTTTACTTGAATCACCTGAATTACCAGGATGGGGTTGGCATTGGTAGCGTCATGCCACAGCTGAGTGTTTCCCACTGCCCTCCCACTGGTGCATCAGTGGTGAATTTTCTTTACCTACATGAAGTCATTTTGTGTGAAAAAACAATGAATCACAAAGAGAAGCCCAAAGCAATTAGAAATTCCTTTCCTCTCACCTTTGCCAAAGCAGGATTTTTTCCCCAGAACAAAGTCTGGGCAAGCCTCCTTACGCACAGTGATGATTACGTAGGTTGCTCTGGATTTTGTTTTTTTTTGTTTTGTTTTGTTTTGGTTTGGTTTGGGTTTGTTTTGTTTTGTTTTGTTTTGTTTTTTGTTGTTTGTTTTTCACAGACCATGAGTAAGCAAAGAAGCTCAGGAGAACACTCTACTTTATGAGCAGTTTGTTACGCTTCCTTGGAAATCCCATTGTGCTGGCAGTGCCTGAATTGGCTGCAGCTCCCGTGCCCCGTGATGCTGGCTGCCTCCAGCCACACACATCCATCAGTCAGCAGTGCTTCTCATGTCCCCTCTTCCTTCTCATTTTCATCTGTCCCCAGCAGGCTGGAGCATGGAGCCAGTGCCTTCCCAGCAGAGGACTGCTGAGACACCGTGTGAGTAAGGCCTTGTTTGCATAAAGATGGCACAATCACACATGAAGGTGGCTTCCAAAGCACAGTCTCATTTCCTTCTGCTTTTGCTTAGGAAAAGTCCATATTCTTGAAACTTCTCGTACTTGTTGGCATTGATGTGTTACAGAGGTGTCCTCTAATGTAAGAGCCTTGGTGAAAGGTTTTCCCCCCACCCTGAATAGTGTCTTCTGACAACTTCTTTCAAGATGTATCTGTTTCAATGGTAGTGAACAGTCTCTTCAGTTCTTAACACCAAAAAGTTATTTCCATGCTCGCTGAAGTTGCCTGGAAT